ATTGGAGATTAGTTGGAATAAAACGTGTCAGTGAACCTATAATCGGTAAATAGTTGGATGAATGATAAAAGGATTGAGGGTTGTGTCTGCAGTCTTGATAATAATCCTTGCATTTGATATAGCGCCTTATCACGTCTTCGAGACATCTCAAAACACTTCACAGAATATAGTTTAACGTGAATTGACTGTATATTTGTGTGTGCGAAACGCAGCAACCAATTGCCCACAGAAGTGTCCCACAAACAATCGTGGATTAAAGTGACCAATTTATTATTATTTATTACTTTTTTTTGAAGGAATTATTAACCCCGGAAATGCAATCCGCCAATCGACTAACAACTGGGTTTCTACGTACTGCTAGGTAAACAGAGTGTGTGGAGTAAGGAAACTTGCCCAATATTTTGCCCTGCTGGGAATCGAACCCAGATTTCTCGCTTGTGAGGCGAGTGCTCTAACCACTAAGCTAATGTCCCTCCTTCCCATATATTGGATCAATCTGGTCCCATTCAGTTTGATCACAGATCTGGCTGGAACAGCAACCAGTTCTAACATTTATACCATGAAGGCAGCAGCACTTGCCCCATGATATTGATGTGTTATCTTGTTAGATTCAGTGCCTAGCAGTGGTCTATTCATGGAACTATTCATGGGACATCCAGACATTACTGGTGCTTGCTTGATAACTCCACATTGAAAATAGCTAAGATCTGCATTGTGCAACAATAATTGCGCTGCTAACTGATCTGGCAGAGCCTTTTTTTGTACAAGAGTGCTGGTACACGATTTCAAATGAAACAATGAGATAACGCCTATTCAGAGAAGCCTCCAATCCACTGCAGCACGTCCCACATCATGTTCACAATTCCGAGATAGAGAGAATAGGTAGCAATCTTGGTGATTGCAAAAGCCATTTATGCTGCCTGGAATACCTCATAATATTTCAGATTGTTCAGGGAGAACTAAAAAGTACATGATTCTGATGTTCTTTGGTAATTCTGAAACTTAATGTACAACAAAAATACATTCCTACAGTTTAAAAAACCTCTATGTGATATTAAATCACTTTTGAGCAAGCTGCTTAAAGTTGGCAGCTAAAAGGAAACTCAAAATGATACTGCGATGATGCCCTGGGGAAGGTACTCAATGCTAAAAGACTCCAAAAGCTCATCAAACCTCAGTGGAGGTTTGCATCACTCAGAAATCACACAGAAAAGCTGAATTTCAATAACTACAGAAATTAAGCTACACTTTATTTGCTCATCATACAGGAGTCCAGAGTGTACTTGTATTTAACCCACTGACCACTGCAAACCTTGTGCAACAGCCTGAAGAATTATCTAACTGCCATAATGTCCGTAAACAATTCTGGTGTTGCTGAGCAGCGGCAATTGCGAAGTTGGGAGGACATTTTGGCTGTCGACTCAACCTTCAGCCCTTTCTGAATCGTCCAACAATTTAATTATATAGCTATCATGCAAGACCGTTATTTCTGACAAAGAAATATATTCTATTTACACATTAAAGGTAAGTCACTCTGAGTTGGAAAGAGTACGAGAACAATATTTATCCACGGAATAACATACAGCCAGTTATCAGTCCACTTTGAGGTAACAAGACAACAATCAAGCAGCATGGCACACTTCCAGCTCAGATTGCTCTAACAATTGGTGTTCTGATTCGCAGGTTTAAGGACATGACTAGATCTTAAGTCTTATTGATGCAACATTAAATAGTGTTTCGGATTGCTGTAAGTAAGTGGCCCAGCAGTATGTAGGAACCCGGTTGTTAATCGATTGGCAGATCACTTTTCCGGGGGAAATAATCCCTTCAAAAAAATAATAATAATTTGGTCACTCAATCCATGACTGTTTGTGGGACACTGCTGTGCGCAATTGACTGCTGCGTTTCGCCCACAAAATATACAGTCAATTCACTTTACAGTAAACTCTGTGAAGTTGAGATGTCTCGAAGACGTAATAAGGCGCTATATGAAATGCAAGGATTATTATTATTATCTTCCTTACCTATAAAGAGCCTCCCTACTACACTTCGGCATCAGTAATCCTGGCATTATCAACACCAACACGCCTTGCTGTAATGGATATTGCGATTGGCTTTCAAAGACTGTGATATAGTGAAGGTGACTGTACTTACACTCAGTGTTTTCCGCACAACTTTTATTGCCACATAATCCAAGCATCACAAGGGCCAACAAACAAAGCACACTCAACAAAGCAGCTGTATTTTATTTCATTAACAATGCATCGCGTTGAGCAACCCAGTCCATCAGGGAGCCTTACAAATGACAGAAACACTAACAATATTATCCTACATGTTTATCATGTATTAGCTGCTGTGACATTGGACTATTGAAAATTGCCAAGGGAAAAGGACCTTTAAAAGCTGAACCAGAGCTTTAACCCTTCATAATAGTGCCATGTAGTAGCCAAAATTATTTTAACATAGAAATATCTAGCACCAATAGTGACTGTGCAGATATGTACATGGCATAATTCCATACACTTAGTGAAGAGTTTAATTCTTACCTATGCAATAAGGGTTGAATTCTCATTAATCATTTCTAAATGTCATACAAACTTCAAAGCATGTTTTTTTATTACAACAATGCACTACTATATCATTAATACTATTCTAGTCAATTCATTTATTTAAAAATACCTAACTGACATTGTCCTCATGTTTGATATTCTGTCTTGTGTAACTTGCTACCTAATTAACCTCTACAATTTTGATCATATTTGCATACATTTGCATTGCAATGAGCTTCATATTAACAGTTCTTCTGTGTTAAATTAATTAGGTTGCAACATCTTTCATCTTTTCCAAAATTATGATAACATTTTGAATTCACTTTAATTCTAAGCATGATTTGGTTGCCATTTTTCTAAAGTTTTCATTTTAACCAAGGTGCGTTTTAACGAATGCAAGATTAGGATTAATGTAGATACTGTCCTAGGCCGAATCTGATCAAACTGCGAGTACACGCGTAACCTTTACACTAATCAGCAAGCATTTCATTACATCACAAAGTCTCATTTGTACTTACTCATGTCGTCCCCAAGAGATTTCAAAAGACCAGCTTTAGAAAATGGAAACAATCACTGGGAATTTCCAGCTTCTAAAGTAACAACAGGTAGATAGGAGGCAGCCAGAGACAATGACAGTCTTGTGGAGAGGATTGAATGCTGAATTGTGTAAATGTGTTGTAACCTCTGCCGATGACAAGTTGTAGTAAATGGAAAATAACAATGGCAATAGGCATTTCTGTCCTTTTTGTGAATGGCAAAGACATAGAATGGGCAAGTAGGTGGAGGGTGGGTGGATAAGTACGTGCGTGCGTGAGTGAGTGTGTTATTGAGTAAGGTTGTTATTAAATTACACAATTCAGATATTTACAAACCTTTCAGCATCCTCTCATAGTTTAGGACACCTTTTGTCTGGAGCTGCCAGATATTCAACATAACCAATGGTCCATAACTAAGCTGCCATCCACTGTGCTCCGCCTTCGCTCCTAAATAGCACACGATTTATAGGAAAAGAGTGGAAGAGAGACATCTGCCCTTGAAATATTGGTTATCAATAACATGCAGGCACTTTTCATGTTCTGTTGTTCATTAGGATGACAGATGATAGTGCTGGAGTGTGTAGCATTTTACCCTGTGCTTGTAATGAGGTACTAGCATGTTGGGTTCGCTTCAAATCTCTTTGCTTATTCTTCCTTACTTTTAGCTGTAATATGCTGTTTCCTCAGTACCACGCTCTCAGCTATCTTTGAATCATAGCTAGAAGCAATCCATATCTTCTGATAACAATCCACCCACTGATTATCCTTGGAATCGTCCGCTATTTGATAGATCAAATACAGATACTGAATCTTAATGAAATGAGGTTTGTCACCAGCCTCGTAGATTTGTTTGCTTAGAGAAACAACCATAGAGATTAAGTGTACAATATCTACCAACTCCATTACTTCCTAGTTGATCACTAGAAATATTGCTTCATAACTATTTTATTTGTGTTGGTACACCTGAACAATAATAATCAGATGTGTGCAGCACACCACCAGCCCTGAAGAATTGCCCCCAAATGCCACAGTACAGAATAAACAGAAGCTCCAAAGGAGTGGCAATCTCATTTACGAGTCCAATGGTAGATTTAAAATCTCTCCATCACTTCACTGCAAGGTGTCCATAAGCCTTCACAAGCACAGAACCAATGCTTTGCCAAACAAAGCTTTCCACCATAATTCCCTGTGCAGTCCTGTGACCCCTCTAAATCCTTCAGGAATGACTGTACCCCAGCCATATTTACCACCTAAGATTCTCTCTTATAACGATAATAATAATCCTTGCATTTGACATAGCGCCTTATCAGGTTGAAAGCGATCTGCTCTTGCTGTTCTGATTGTGGATATTACTGAATCACTTTTGAGAGGCTGACGTCTTGAACAGTGTACATGATGGAGAGAAAAAAGAGAACAAGAGGAAGTTTCATTTAAGATAGAACTTAACTAGAAAAACAATGCAATAACTTTCACACAATCAGCTTGATGAAAAATCAGCTACGGATGAAGGGCAAATGGAAAGTTCCAGTTGTACATCGTGTACATACGTGACTTCAGCTGCAGATATTGCAAGAAGTTCTTCCACCCAAAATAACACTTTGCAAAGTCAAATTCAACATTTCTAAGGGAATTTGACTAATTATCATATTTTTGATGCAATTCTCAAGATGAATCCCTTCGTGACGTTAATGAATGTACTTAGATGAAAGTCAGACTGTATCAAAAGATTTTCTCTCAAATTATTACTTTTATGAAATTTTAATGGCATCCCAAAAGTAAAGAGCCCACATGGATACAGCCTTTTCCAGAATGATGTGATCATTCTGAACAACTGCTGAATAACCATCTGGCAGCAAACATCCCGCACATTTGCATCAGCTACACATTAATTCCAATGTCGGTGCTTGAAACTTACCATATTGAATGACTATGGCAGAAATCTAATGCAGAAATGATTTGTCGGAAGAATTTCCTGGCCTCCTTTGGTGTCAATCGTCCCTTTTTCACAAGATAGTCAAAGAGTTCTCCCCCGGATACATGTTCTAGCACCAAGTACCTAAAAGAATAAAATTGCACATTAGTAGAATACCTTGTGTTTTAAAAAAAAACATAATTTAAAGGTGTTACTCAAACACTTTATACCAGGAGATTAAAGAAAGCACTGTATTTATGAAAGTTTTTTTTTTGCATTTTTCCAAAGAGCAACACAAATCATGCTAAAACACTGCATCGCACCACAACCAAAATACGCAGCGTGATCAAAATGGTACATGGCTGTACTGCAGCTCTCCCTACTATGGAAGTGCCCTGGTTCAAACAGCCCCACTTATCTCGGATACACACTCGCTCTTCGCTTTGCTCGTGAGTTACAAGAAGTGTCACATAATCCAGATAAGATGCAGACTGGAAGCAGTGCTGAGATGAGCTTTTCAGCCCCTATTTTATCCCTTCTCCAGCAGCCCAACCTGTATTTTGTACCAGTTTCACTGATCGAAATTCATTTTTTTCCAAGGGTTCATGGCTTCATTTAGATTTTTAGACTGCTCATGTTGTGCTACAAATCAGTATTGAAGAGAATTGTTTACCATTAAAAATCATGTTTACAGAAATACATCAACATATAAATAAAGAAGAGTCCCACAGTGTTGTTGAAACAAATTTAAAATAATAAAACATGGACGTACTGCATAATATTCCTCATTCCGCACCAACTCAACAATGATGGTGCTGCAGTTGGCAATTACACAGGCTGCTTGCTCTGCATTACTTAACACGTAGGGCTGCAGCTCTTCTATAGTACAGTAGCAAAATGTATACATTAACTAACTTTAAATAGAAGCACATGGAAGATTGTGAGGTGACCTGATGGAGGCCTGTAACATTACAAGTGGTTTTCCAATGTAAGCAGGGAGAAATTATTTCTACTGGTTAGTGAGTTGGCAATTAGGGGGTAGTAAAAGTGTGGGCCGAGCTGAACAAGCACCGGGAAGTTTGCCAGAGGGTGTTCTCAATTGCAAGCTATGCAGTTTTAGCTGGTTAAACTCGAGCAGTACCCTAGTCCTTGGCTCTCACCAATGTGCTCCTCATGCACTCTGGAAGGTGAGCAAGGTGCATCCCTCAAAGGGAGAGTGCATTAAATGCCAGACACAAGGAAATATCCATGTGTACATGATATGGATATGTGGAACTTGGTCTGGTTTGGATACTCTCAAGTATGGTGATGGATTTCCACATGTATCAGTCATCTGGACGATCATAAAAGTGAACAGTAATAATTTAGCACATCGTTACACAAAAAAGGTTAATCCTAGATTTGTAAGTTACCAAAATATACAATCAAAGTTAGACGTTGACAGAAGTTCGAAAGGACAATTCAATTTAGATTTTTAAAAACACATTCTCAAAAAAAAACCTGAAAACCAATGACAAACCAATGAAAACTTCTGTTACAGTGTTTCATCCTGACCAATATGTCTGGGTGGAAAAAAAGATATACAATATAAGGATCTCTTGCTCGCTGAGAATAGCTCAGGTTAAAGTCAGTTTTTGACCTATTAAACTCTATTTAAGCGCTAGAGCTGACAACACCTCTTGTACATTTATTCAGAATCTGTTTGGAAGAGATTGAAAACTCCTACACTGGCTATTTTGTGAAGCAGAAAATGTTTCATTTGCTCTCCTTGCTTAAGCTTGCTTGTCGTAAAAAAAAAGGCCGTCAACAGCTTCAGGGCTAAATAGGTTTTTTTTATGATCAACCTGACCTGTTCGGCAATAAAACCGAACCAGAGGGAAGGCGCTCTTTCAGAAACTCTTGAGCTCGAGGAAAGTTTTTTTTAAAGAGGAATATATACGGCAATACTTCCCGATTTGTGCCATGCCTGTGGGGCATGACAAGAGCAACTAGCTGACTGCTAAACATCCAGTAATACCCTGCTCACTGTGCAGAGAATGGGAGTGATAACAGGAGCGAACAGTCTTGCCTTTTCAGGTAATATTCCCCAGAAGGCCTCCTATTTACAGTAGTCTTGTAAGTTTTATGGTCTGTGAAGACACTTTTCACAGGTGAAATTGCTAAGCGTTTTAGAATCCTGAGCCGTGAGCTAAATAAAGGGGCATAAAAGAATATAGTTCCCCTATACCTGCAGTGGCAGGTCTATCATGCTGATTATACGATTGCTAATTCAAGACGAAAAACACATTTGTCCTTTGATAACTCGCCTTTGCACAAGAACAGATTGAGTAGGAGCTTGGGTCTACAATTATTTATACCGCATGTGTGCAGATTATTCGGAGAGTTTGAACATGATGGTTTATTGTTCTGCCAACACTATTTTGGAACGATCCTGTGCCAACACTGACAGCTGTTGAGCTTTCATTTTATTTCAACTGATGAGTTCACACTCGGGATAGAGGGAGCTTAAACCAAAGCCCATAACCTGCCCAATGCTAACAATTAGAATGGAGCCAAACCTCAATTGAAAAGGAAATTTCACATTTTTCTTTCTCTCATTTGGTTGATTTCTCTCCCTCAGTCTCTTACCAACTTTTTGCAAGTTTTGTTATGTTCCTGCTCCTAATTCGTCCATCTCTCTCCCCCTGCCCCGCTCCCCCCACCTTTGTTGCCTGATCCATCTCACTCCCAGCATCAATTCAGACTTCCAGCTCTCAAATTCCTGATGAACTAAGTTATTTAAATATATAGAATGTTTTGGTCCAAGAAGTGAGATGTACAAAATGTGAAATAACTCAGTAACTGACAATGGGGGTGGAAGAGAAGGGAAAGCATGAGAAGGGTTAGCATTATGTTGGGAACCTGGGAGGAGACAGACAATGGCTGGTATTGTGTTAAGGGCTGGCAGTGCAGGGGGAAGGAAGGAAGAGAGAGGTATTGGCTCCGTGTGGTGCTAAATTGACAACTCATCTCTGGTGGAAAAATGTTTTTGGCTAGTATCGTACATTTATATATTGACCTGATTTCACGTTGCTTTCACATCCACATTGGGGCTGCTGCAAACTTGTGGGCTCTCTGCTGTACATCAAGCACAAGTATCATCTATCATTATGAGAGGAAGAAAATAGGGGCTTTGAAAGTTGTTTTTTTAAAAACAAAGGCCAATGACACAGTAACACAACCATAATTTGCATTTATATAATGCTCCTCACATTGGATAACGTCTCGGAAAACGCTGTATAATGTAGTGGTGGGGCTGGATGCTGAGCAGGAAAGAGAAGTGGGAGGTATAGGTGCTAAGTAACCATAGATGTGCTCATAATAATACTGTATTGAATCCCTAGACACTCTGTGATATAGTCATGGCTCCTGCCAGGGATCATATGGAGAGAGAAACTAACTTAAAAGTACAAGTTTAACCTGCAAGAGGTTAAATCTACAGCATTGACTCAGATGACCTCCCTGATAAGAATTAACCCGACGCGAAAGTGCTTAAGGTCTGGAAACAGATGTGGAGAGATCAGACCAAGAATATAGTGGAGAAAGTGGCCACAGGCTGCACATCAAGCGATTTTCCTCAGTTGAATTCTTCAAGTGCAATTTTATATTAATAACTCATCAATGAGTGCTTCTAACAACTTAAACCGACATGGGTTTTACAGGGAAGTGGATGATCTCTCTCTCAGTGTGTCTCTTCAGAACATGTGGCTCCTGTCTAAATCAAAATGGCACGCAAGAATCTAAAAATTTATGTTAAAATTTCAACACAGCATACTTGAGGTACCTTATCTATGAATAGTGCACAATGCGCAAAACAGAAAAAAAAACTTACAGTAAAGATCCAAACAGATGTCCGTACCCTGTCCTATGTCTGAACATTGGAGGAGCAACTCGCCCAAGAATCGTTTAATAATGCAACTTTTAGATATTCAGTCAGGATAGGAATGTCAGTGATGGATGTCAGTCCAGGACCAATGTCAAAATGGAGGGTGACCAGTTCAGCTATAACACAAGTCAGACTAAGAAAGAGCAACTCCCTCTGCTCTGCCCTTCACTGAGGAGAGCACTACCTGTGCTTCACAGTGTCAGTTCTCTTTCTTAAATTATCCTTATGGTGTCTTGGAGCAGCGATTACAACCAATTTCTGGGCAGTGCCACTGGGTACTGCATTCAAGCTGTCAAAACTCATTCTACGTAAGACATTTATAGCCATTAAAGAGACTTAATCTCATTAGTCTGGACTAGATTTAACCCCGGGCTCAGAGTGGCTTTAACTCAAAGTGCCGCCTAGTTTTCTGGAATCATTTGCTACTAACCTGTGAGGAAAATTAAAAGTCAAGAAAGGAACAAAGCTGAAGTACGAATAATGTACCAAAAACAACCTTCTGAATGAGGGAAAGCAGCTGCTCACTGCATGGACCTGCTGAGGCCCTCAGTCAGTCACAATGTAATTACAGGGGGGGGGGGGGGGGGTCCACTTCTCAGATCAAGCATGTTCCTGTGCATGTGTCAAACCAGGAAAGGTAGAAAAATATCTGAAACATGCTAATGGCCAATATTCTTTAGATTAAGAAATTTAAGTGTAGAAAAGCAATGCCCAAGTAATACATGTTGGAAATGGCCCCACAACACAAATAAAGTACAGGACACGAAAATTACGTGACCTGTTCCCATCACTAATACCTGCGGGCCAGTGATCATTATTTATTCTGTTCCTTTTCTTGCTTTCACTGTTATTCATGAGTATTTTTCTTGCGTTCCTTTGTTGTCATTTGACGTCTTTACTACATATTTTTCCTCATTTCTTTGACATTGTTATGTCTATTTTACATTCATTTTCACCCGCTTATGACCATTGCAACAGTAGCTCAGAGTGCCATCGCCACAGAATGCTACCAGCAACAAGCCATTCAAATCAGCCGCACCGCTTGCTTCATGGCTAGCATTGAGCAGTGGGTTAATGCTGGCAGTGAAAATAGTATGGCATTCAAAGACAAGAAGATATACTCAATGGCCCTAATAGAGGAAGATCATAGATCTGAAATAGAACAAGCTCTATCCGAGTAAGACGATCAAAGAGTCAGCCTGGAAAGAGACAGCCAGGA